ATTTAGTTATCTGTGTTCTTTTTAAATATGGATAAAGTATGAAATAAAGTATGAAACAGTATGATAAAGTATGAAACAGTATGAAATACCTGAAGACCAGGTCTTTGTGCTGCCTTATACCAGTCTTACTATCGTCACCTCGCATGTGTATGATACATGGCAATTTCGTACTCTGATCTCTCTGATTGCTTTACGTTATTATCAACCCTTGGCATGGCTAGAGAGTCCGTAGTAATATTCCAGTGCTGTTTTAATTTGCATTTCCTTCAGACTAATGATGTTGATTGTCCTTTTGAATGCTTTTTTAATATGTGTATTACCTGGAAAGTTGCTGTTCAGACCTCTGCCTGTTTTTTAAGGAGATTTTTCTGAGTTGTAAGAATTCTGCTTTCTAAATAAAAACCTTTTTGTTAAGATCCAAGTTTTACAGACATTAACCTTCAGTCTGCAGTTTGCCCTTTGTTTTCCTGCCTTTGTCTTGGAAAGTAAGTTTTTAATTTTAATTAAGTCCAGTATGTTGATATTTTATAACATAATTTGTGTGTGTGTGTGTGTGTAAAAAAGTGTTCTTTCAGATATTCTTGATGTTTTCTTCCTGAAGTTCATAGGCTAGTCTGTTAATTATTATTTGTGGTATTGGATAGGAGTAGAGTCTTAATTTTTTGCTTATGTTTATTCCATGACCATTTATCAAAAAGATTATGTTTTCTAATTGGCACCTTTGTTGGAAATGAGTTAGCTTAGCTATGAATACATAGACATATGTTAGGGTAAACATTATATACTTTATATATATGTATCTGGTCTGTCATTTACATTGAATCTGAATTTCTACAAAAAGCTTGCTGGGATTTATATTCCTATTTTGCAGTAGATAAATAAGAAAATACATAATGGACAAAGTAATCTAGCTTGCATTACTAGGTTCTACTTTTTCATTTTTGGTAGCAGTTATTCAGATGTTTATTCCTACAGTGGTTACAGATTATTTTCTTTTTCATTGTCTTTTATTCTGGATGTGCCCTATTTTTGTCTCCTGTTTTTCTTCCCTGGAAATACTGGATATTTAATATAATGTGCTTCTGTATATGAGAACCACCATTTAAGTTTTGTTCTCTGTGCATATGATAATGTGTATCATATCTGTGTACTTACTAATATCTCTATCTATAACCTGTACTGTACCAATTAACCTTTTTAATCTGAATATGGGTCAAACACTTCACCTACTTTCATGAAGGCCATACATGTAATTTCTCCATCAGTATTATCAACTGCTGTTTTCTTTTTTTAAGATTTAAATCTCCCCCAGTGTACTGGGAGATGAGGTGTCTGTCTTTGTCACTTTAAAGGCACGTTCTCCTGAGAGTTCAGCACCATTGAATTATTTTGTGTATGTGATAAAGACATCTTTTTAGAAAACAGCTAAAATCTGTATTTTTACTTTCAAACATCTTAGGTCTGAATCTTAGCTTTGGTCAGGATTAACTGAGGACCATGCATTTGATAGTGTGTGGTTTTGAGCTGGAAACATCTCTACCACACATGCAACAGCAGGGTCACTTTTCTGCTGGGTGGGTTCCCAGGAGAAGAGCTGAGCAATTGAAGAGCAACTCGGAAACTCCTGGTGAACTACAGAAGAGTGTGCATAGGTTCACCGCTTCTCCTTTGCAGGCTCCAAAGATGAGAGTAAAAGAAAAAAAGCCTCTTTCAGTTATTAAACCGTAAGGACAGAGAGATGGGACTGGGCATTGGAGCTGACTGCTGGCTGGTGGAGTGGAGAATGTTTAGACCTGCGTGCTTAAGGAGTGCGGTTGTGACAAGCGTGGATGCACACCCCCAACTGTTGTGGCCCTTGAAATACAGCAGAGAAGATAGGCCCAACCGTAGGGCTGTGGTAAGGGGACTGTTTAAAAATTGGATTGCAAAGCAGATCTCCAGTCTTTGTATGGTCAGGTGATTACTCTGTTGTAGTCTGTGCAAAATGAAAAGTTGATCCTCTGAGGAGAGCCAGGGAAGCTCCTGACTGTTGACATAGCTGTATTGTGGACACAGAGGCAGGGCATTCAGTAAGTCTGCATGCTGACCCCAGGGGTCCTCAGGCCTTTTCCCTGTTCGGCTTGCTGAGGCCAGTAGTCAGGTAGGAAGCCCCTACCCCTTTAACCATGGTAGGACCCAAATGCTGACTTCCTTGGAGAAATAGCGTAGTCCGAGGGTCTGATACTTCGAGGTCCTCAAAGGAAAAGGCCAGCTCATCACTTTGTCACCTCCCTGCAGCCCACTTGCCTCATTCAGCGGAGGCCATGCTGCCCTGAGCGCGGTGGGTAAGAGCCCCTCTGTTCTGGGGAGGAGGGTCAGGAACTGTGTGGCTGTCAGACAGCACACAGGGCTGAGATTCCCGACAGAGGAGTGGCGAGAGCAGGGAGAGGGCTCTTTTCTGCTGAGTGTGTAAGCAGGACCTGTCTGAGAACGTGAGCTCAGAGATCCTGAACAGCACCCAGGAGCCGCGTGCTGATGGCGGCCGCATTCCAGGCAGTGCAGGAGCTGGTGTGTGGTGTGAGCAGAGAGGTCACTGGCACCAGTGTTAAATGGAGGAGGGTGCCAGGGAGGAAATCAGAGAAGCGGGTGAGAAGCAAGTAGTAGTGAAGGACTGCAGGCCAGGGTGAGGACTTCAGTTACCCTAGGCGATGCCACAAGGCCCTGGCAGGTTTGAGTGGAGAGGTGACAGCCTAAAAAAAGAGACTGGGTGCTCTGTCGGGAATAAGCTGTAGAGGGGACGGGGCTCAAATAAGGAGAGCTGGGAGAAAGCTTCTGCAGTTGTCCATGAGGATGACTCGGGCTCCAGTGGCAGTGGAGGAAGTAGTGAGCTGTGGTTGGGTTTGGGCTGTGCTGAGTTTCAAGAAGTGGTTATTATTTGCTGGGGAACTGGGTATGCCATGTAAGCAGTGGGAACCAGCCACTCAAGACACTGGGGGCTTTGTCTTGAGTAGCGAAGAGCGTTGCCCTTTGGAGTTTTTGTTTGTTGGTTTGGATTGGGGAAGGTGGGGTATATGTGAGTCAAGTGGTTTGAGGCAGTTCTGGACATACCCGCGGAGATTCCTTTAGCTTCCCGTGTAGTGTATTATTCACAGCGGGAGTGGGCAGCCAAAGGTCCCCAGGTTTTGAAGAAAGCCTCTGCAGGGACAAACAGAAACAGAAGTAGAAAATAGTGGAAATAATGCTTTAAACAGTGGAACCAGGGGGAGAGAGAGAGTCAATAAAAACATGATCAAGGTCCGCACAGTGAAGAAAAGATAATGAAGGATAGACTGTGAAACAGAAACAAGACTTCATGAAGAACAATGGTAGAACATGCGCATTATTGAAAGTGAAAATATGGCAACTAAAGACTTTCAGTAGCATAGCTGGAAGATGAAATAACCTATAATATAGAACCAAAACATAAGAAAATAGGGATAGATGTAAGCATATGGTCAGCCTCCGACATGGTCTGCAAGGGGAAGGTGAATTGCCTGGGGAGCTGGCCACTGTGGACGTGATAGGCCGGACCGCTGAGGCTAGGTCAGAAGAGACATTGCTGCTTCTTTCTTGTTGTGCTGGCTCAGCTCTTGGGTAAGCCAGCTGCGGTGCCACACGGATGGATGCTCGGGCAGCTCTGTGGAGAAGAAACGGCCCACAGCCTGGCGTGCCTGCAGCGTAGACGCTCCTGTGCTGCCAGCCTCCGGTCTTCCAGCGGAGCCCTTAGACGCTGAGGGCAGAGGTGATGCGCTCTGCTCCGCTCCCTATCAAACATATGTCGATGCTAATAATTTACTTCCTTTTCTTTTTATTCTGTTTCACTGGTGGAAAAGCTATAAAAAGTAAAGTGATTTGTAACCGCAAATTAGTGCAAGGCCCAAGACTAAAGATGAATGTTTCCTCCCTCTTGAAGCAGATGCTAGTGATGACTACAATGTGTATCTCATCCACTCTATCCTCATCCTTTTTTTTATGTTTTGGAAATTATTTTGAAAAATGTTGCTAAGACATTGGTAAATGCCTCTGTATTTTCTTCACATAAGGAATAACCCTTTTTATTGCCAGTGTTTCTTAATATATTTTTACAACTAAATAAAGGAAAATGATGCATTATAGCAAGTTGGGTTTTATGTATTGTTTTTTCCTGAAAATGGTCTTATTTTTATCATAGCAAGAGATATAAAATGGGAACTGCTGCTAGTGCACTTCAGTACTTTTTCTTAATAAGGGAAGGTGGTTACAGTGAAGGAAGCTGGTTTTATGTAGTAAGTTCAAATTGTTTTTGTCTCCAGGATTCTTGTGGTCCTTATGAGCATTAGGAATACAAAGCTGGCCCTCCTTGACTTTGTTATGTGAGAGAAGGGGGCATAATTTTTCACTTTCTGTTTCCTGCCTAGGCCTTGATAGCATATAGAAAAGTGTCACTAACAGATAAATGTGTATTATTTTTAATTGCATTACTTTAGTGTTCTGCTTTTACTCTTTTTTCTTGCTATAAATAATTCATGACCTGACACATTGAAGTAAAGCAGAAATATGAGTTCCATTGTGATATAAAATGTGACGATATACTAGTGGACTAGATAATAACAGTTGTCTAGTTTTCTTCTATGTTAACCAAAGTATAAAATAATATAGTAAATAAAATTAAATACTATACAGTGGTGCTCTGTGTATGACATTTCAGCCAGCTGCAGACTGCATGTACAACAGTGGACCCAGTATCATCTTGCGGTAGCATGACTGTCTTAATTTGTGTAAGATATTTGCACAATGACAGAATCACCTAATGACACATTGCTCAGAATGTATCCCCACTGTTAAGTGATGCCCTGTATCTGAAAATCCTGACATATGGCTGTGACTTGGCTGTTTCATTTGGGTTTCATTTTTGTTATTTGACCGTGATTCAACAAATTAGAACAAAGTAGGAGAGAGTCAGATGACAAACTCTGACACTTCTCTTTTTGTATTTGCTGAAGACCGGCACACAGCCTTTTAACCGTGCAATGCTCTTCAATGTGGGCTTTAAAGAGGCCATGAAGGACAATGCCTGGGACTGTGTGATCTTCCACGATGTGGATCATCTTCCTGAAAACGACCGGAACTACTACGGCTGTGGAGAAATGCCCCGTCACTTTGCAGCAAAGTTGGATAAGTACATGTATATGTAAGTGTGCACTGTTCTCAGTATCATATGATGAGCTTGCACAGTTAGAGTGTTGGCATGGTGCAGCAGCATTGAGTGCCAAAATGTGGAGTTCTCGGGAGCCTTAGGAATACCGTGTGCCTGCAGCCCGTCCTCCCGGGGAGCGCGTCATCCGTCTCTCTGGGCGCTGCCTTGCACGGAGGTTTGAGTGCGTTGTGTGGAAAAGAGCCTGGTTTCCGTAGTCGGGCAGTGGAGACTTAAATCTAATTCCCTATGCTTTTACCACCTGGTGAGTTGTGGGTCCCTCTAAAGATTGGTGTCCTCTGCGTCGGAGGCCCCAAGGGGGGTGCTGTGCGGTGTCCCCCACCCGAGCCGTGGGTGTGTGGCCCAGACGGGCTTCTTTTGCCCCCTCTCGCTCTGTGATGGCTTGGGGCCAGAAGGCTTCTTCTCCAGTGTATTTTCTTCTTACACTCTATATATTCTTGACCTGCTCCTTAATTATAAGATACTGATCTGTTTGTTTTCTGACTGGAGGGATCTTAAATGTAAGCAGTTATCAGAGCTGCAAGAGTAACTTGACGTCAAAGAATGCAGGTCTAATCTGGGAAAGAGATCACAATCTTCATTACATAATGGCAGTGGGGGAAAGAGAAGACTCTTGCTGGTGCAGGGAAAATGTGGTCCGCATCACGGTCTTGGCTGGTGTCCAGGGCACAGAGTAGAGAGAGGCAAAGAGTCTGTTGCAGTGATGAATTGGCATCAAAACAAAAAAAAAGTCACCCCCCTTTTTTTGGCTTAGCAAACCTTTTCCACATTGCTCCTCTATCTGAACTCTCAAGTTTGTGGTTACCCCGGGGAGACTGTCAAGGACATAACTAGCACATAGGGAAACTTGACTTTGGTCAGCTCGCTAGAATCGGGTTAGATCCAGGATAACTGATTTTTCACTAAAACGTACCATCAGGGTTAAAGGTTATGTAAACTAAGAACTCAAAATTAATATACTTAAATTTTTAATGAACAAAATATTCATACCCGCCCAGGTTTGCTCTCTCTCCTGCTTGGGACGGCATAAGATAAACACTAGGAGAGTTTACTCAGTTTTTGTTGTTGTCCCTTTAGTTTATCTGATCTTTTCCCATTGTGTGTAGGTTTTTTGTTGCTGTTGTTGTTTTGTTTTGTCTTGTTTTGTTGAGACAGGCTTTTGCTGTGTAGCTCAGACTGGCCTTGAACTCACTATATAGCCTGGGCTGGTCTCAAATTCATGGCAGTCCTCCTGCCTCAGCCTTCCGAGTGCTGTAATTACAGGCATGTGCCACCATGCCTGCTTCATTGTGTGTATATAATTCAATTGGTTGTTCCTGCTTAAGCAGAGCAGCAAATAGCATTGATGAGGCTTGCTGATTTATACATGCCAGTACGCATACACACATTTATTTATATCTGTTTAATGATACTGGGTTTTTGCCAAACCACTAGCCTGAGCACAATAATCCAACTGGTGTGGGAAATATGACACTGCCAAGGATGCATACCAGCCCTGTGGGAGCCCCTGGGCATTGTTACTAGAAGCCCAAGCTCCGAAGCATGAGCCTTGCGGGGCTCCTGAGGTGCTATAGTTGCCCCTCCCTGGGCCAGTGTTACACTTACTGTCTTGGGATGTCCTTAGCCCCGGGTGTGAGCAGCATCACTTTCTCCTGCACCCGGGCCGGATATCGGAGCTGCTTTTCTCTGGTTCTGTGTACCCACAGGCTCCCAGATGACAAATTGCAGTTCTTGCCCACAGCAGAGGAGCCGCGTCCCTCTGACACGATAGGAAATCTGCACGCTGGCTTTCTCTGAGGCGCTTTTGCTCTGGTCCTGGCCAGATCTCCTTCGCCTTGGTTTTGGGCACTGCGCACAGTCACGTTCCTGGGCTGGTGCTGCGTAGCGGCCTGGCCCTTCCGCGGCCCTTTAGCACACAACACTACCTTTAAATACGCTTCGGGCCATAGGGATTGATCCAGGACTGCAGGTTTTGACGTGAAAATACTAACCTATGTCTAAACTAGCTGTGGTTATTAATAACGTAGCTAGAGGGTTGAGTTCAAGGCCAGCCTGGGCTGCATAGTGAGACCTTTTATTAAGAAAGCAAAAAACAATCAGAAAAACATCATAAGTATAGGTAGCTAGTCATTTCAAAATTAAACTCTAGGGTTCTGATTTATATCTAGCCTGTTCTTTTTAGTAAATGCGTTTATAAATAAGTTTGGCTTTAAAAATACTAATTTAACAAAATCTAACATTGCATTGACAGTTATTAATGTATTTAATCAAGTTTGTTTTTGTTACAAGAATATTGTACAATTTCGGAACACTGGGCTTTGAGTCTTATAAAGTAACAATATTAAATATAGATTTCAATTGCCACAAGTGTTTTACTTTCTTTTTTTTTTTTTTTTTTTGGTTTTTCTCCGGTACCGGGAACCGAACTCACGACCTTGCGCTTGCCAGGCAGGTGCTTTGCCGCTGAGCTAAATCCCCAGCCCCAAGTGTTTTATTTTCGTAAGCATATACTTGTTTCACTAGCATGTAAAATATTTTGTATCTTGCTTTACTTTACATTTCCAGACTACTATTTAATGAGCCTGTTTATTTAGAAAAAGTGATATATTTTACAGAGCACATAAAAGAGAAATTTGACCTCGTCCGGCGAACTGTTCAAATGTCGTTGGTAGAATGCTGTGTCCTGCTTTCTTTTCTAGTCTTCCGTATAAAGAGTTTTTCGGTGGCGTAAGTGGACTGACAGTGGAACAGTTCAGAGAGATCAATGGTTTCCCTAATGCCTTCTGGGGATGGGGAGGAGAAGATGATGACCTTTGGAACAGGTAGGTGAAGATACAACTTACTTAAAAATAGAACTTCTAAAACTTTTTTTCTATTAGGTAAACTATACTAGCTATTCTAGCCATTCTGAAAGAATTCTTTAGGGTGGAAAACTGAAATTCTTAAATCCTATTTGCATTTCTTTCTTTCATAAAGAGTTTCTTCTGAAATTTTTGGCAGCATGCACGTCAAAGCATCCTTTTACATCTTGAAGTTGAACTCACACAATCCATTTCTGTGTATTTTTCTGCTGTACTGTAGAGTTCACTATGCTGGATATAATGTCACCAGACCAGAGGGAGATTTGGGGAAATACAAGTCTATTCCTCATCATCATCGAGGGGAAGTCCAGTTTTTAGGACGGTAAGTTTAATGTCATTTTCAGATACCAAGACTTTTCAAAGCTTTGTAATATGTGGAAGGGCAAAAATACACTGCACCCTGCCCTCGGCCTTAGCCGGTCTTCTTGGAAGTCTGTGCATGAAAGCCAAAGAGAGCTGTTTCCTGCCGTGCGCCTGGGAGGTGGGAGTTTGCGAGAAAGCAGAAGGTTGACCTGGAGATGGAGATAGGTCTTTTCCATATAGGAAGGGAGCCAGGCGGTGGAGGGACAGAAGGGACAGTAAAAAGAATTCAGATGCCTTACTTACAGGTACCAGCTCCTCACAGTGAACGTGATCACCATGTGCTGTGAACATGCGCTAATAAAAAGACACATTGCACCCCAAAAACTGCTGAAGACAGTTTTATGGAAGGAAAACATTTTGTGCTTATTTTAAAGAGATACGCATATATACCTACATACATATTTGTGTCATTTCAAGAACCCAATTAATTGTTTATTTAAAAAAATGTTTTCTTTAGCCGGGTGTGGTAGCTCATGCCTGTAATCCTGGCACTCATAGGCTGAGGCAGGAGGATCCTTGTGAGTTTGAGGCCAGCCTGGGCTACAAAGTGAGTTCAAGGCCAGCCCAAAGTGAGTGCATAGCGAGACCCTGTCTCAAAAAGACAAAAAAAAAAAAAGTTTTCTTAACATAAAGCTGAGACATTTTATTTCTTAAGGCTGTCTAAGTTGTCACAGGGCAAAATGGTTTTTTTTAAGGTGGGACTTTTGCACTTGTAAAAATCCTATTTTAAAATTAATAATCTAGAGTTTTTTTAAGTTGTGCACAAGAACTTGAAATTGTAAAGAGCTTTAAGTGCTTTAATTATAAGATGTCCCATCTAGAAGATACTTTGCATCAGTTTTCCTTTTTTGAACTTATTTTCTGTAACTTTTTTGCTTTTTCTCTCTAATATTGTAGGTATAAATTACTAAGGTATTCTAAAGAACGTCAGTACATCGATGGATTGAACAATTTATTATACACCCCAAAAATACTGGTTGACAGGTTGTATACAAATATATCTGTAAATCTCATGCCAGAGTTAGCTCCGATTGAAGACTATTGACAGAAGGAGTCCCGTGGGCCACAGTGCTGGGCCGGAAATCTGGAACGCGCTTGTAGCGGAGGTCAGTGGCTGGATGCGTCTCGGTGCCCTGACTGTGGAAAGAGCCAGCGCTCCTCTATGTTTACACCATGGGATTAAATCCAGCCACCCTTCTCCGGCCCCTCCACTCTGACGTGAGACGTGTACAGTGGTGAGCACTGCAGAAGCGGAAGCCATTGATCAGGATTGGAAGTTACGAGGGATCCCTACAAAGAGAAGATTTTTATACTAAAATCTATAATTTAACTGAAGAGAATGCTTTTATTTCTGTTTAAGCATATTTTGTACATGTGATGTAAATTAATGTGTTCAAATTGTTTAAAAATAAGGTGTGTCACGGTTTTGCATGTAATCAATTATGCCTTCATTGGACTTTTCTAGACACTTTTTTATTTGCATGGGGAAAAACAACCCTGTAAATTTATGTCAGTAAACAAAGGTGAACCCTTGTGTGAAATGAAGGAACTGTCAATAATTGACAGCAAACTAATATGTAAACTGTTATACTAGTTTTCAGCTTTAGACCTTCAGCCTCGCGTGTGGAAGAAGTCACAGCATTCTGAGGGCTTTAACGGGAAAAAGAAAGGACTTAAGCGGCTTTTCTTCCTGCCAGGATTACCTTTCTTCCTTGCTTGCAGTCTCATCAGATTTTGCTAAATAACAGCTGTATTGTTTATGCATATTGCATGAGTATTACCGAACCTTAAAGTTGTGATGTGACACGATGTAAAGGACCTCTATGTTAAATGTTTCTCATGTATCTCTGGTGTGTCAGGGATTTTGTGCCTCTAAAAGCGTTCCCAAGGTTGTGTGTTTATACACTGTGTGTGCGCGTTTTTTTTTTTAATTATAGCACTTATTTCCAGTTTAGAAGAGCCAAAAAAAACTTCATTGAAAAATTAGTTTTTTCTTTTTTTAAGGAACGAGCTATGGAAAACCCAGTAGTACTTATACAAATGAATTATACTAATAGATAACAAATTAAATGTTCTATTTTTATGAATATAAATACTTAGTAAAGACAAATTTTAAGTTTAATTCTCAGACATATAGAATTTCACTTTTGAAAGGAACCCTTTTAATATCAGCAGTTAAATTCAAATTATATTTTTTCCACTTTCAAGAAATCTGTGGTGGTACTAAAATTTTCTCACTGAAAGTATAATTTAATAAACTAAAAATACATTATCAGTTATTTAAATGCATTATTATAGACTTCTGAAAACAGGTCTTATTTCCTGCTAACACATATTTTTATCTTAAAATTGGATGAAATTTTCTGAGGCAAAACCAAACAACATTCTTAGTTTGAAAAGTATTAATTAGAAAGATCCTTTAAAATATTTTACAATATTTTCACAAATATAAAACCAAAAAAAGTGAATCTTCAACAATGAAGAGTAGTAGAATTCTATATATGAGAAATGTTTGGATAAACTTTGCCTATGGATTATTCACTTAAAACAGAAATGTGATTTATCTCAGGTTGTAAGTTTAATTTTCAAGTGTCATTTTCTATGACAGTTTTAGTAACAGAAGTGACCATAAACTAAATTATGAAATAATTGAAATTCTTACAGTTTGAAAAACCTGATATTCTCTCTTTATGATGCCAGACAGAACTTTTTTGTATTTATTTCTTAAAAATATTTCCAAAACATTTATTTTCTTGGTGATATTCAGAATAGTAAAAAAAATGAAAACTTCTGAAAATTAAGACATTTGTGCTTAATTTGTGTATCTGTTCATTTTGTGTCTCACAGCCAACAGTTTAATTTGATGAAATGAAAGCAGAATGATAATATTTGTTGACCACTAGCAAGATATTAGGAGAATGGGGACATAACCCAATAATACTTAAATTGTGGAAAAAAGTGTTTCTGAGTCTTATTAGGGGAATATATTTTTCATTTTAATGAATTCGTCCACTTTTGGAATCTTTTTTTTCTTTTTGTCTTTTTGTCTTTTTGAGACAGGGTCTCGCTATGCAGTTCAGGCTGGTCTTGAGCTCACTTTGTAGCCCAGGCTGATCTCAAACTTGCAATGATCCTCCTGCCTCAGCCTCCCAAGTGCTGGAATTACAGGCGTGTGCTGCCACGCCTGGGTGGTATCTTTACTTTAAAGTACACTTTACTGTTTCAAAAGAACTTAGTACTACTAGTATCTGCCTTATTATTTTAGGAGTGGAGTGTAAGTATCTTTTTTTTTTTTTTGCAGTTTTAACTGTGGTATGTTATCCTGTGGATACCAGTTTGTTTTTTTTTTAAGTGCAGACCTAAAATTATTTTGGCTATGAACAGTAACATTTGTATGTTTCTGTAAATGAGAGCATTTTTCCCAGTTGCCTTTATTATGTGACAGTAAATCTGTTCCCTAAAGATGAACAAGTACAATGCAACTGCAGACATTCTACTGTATAGTGAATTTAGTGGGTTTATTCATGGACGTATATCGATCACCTCCTGTATCAGGTGCAATGCTGGGCATGTCTATTTAAAAGTAGTATTTCATTTTTAAACAAATCAAGTCAAGGAAGTTGAAATCTTTCTGGAATTTGCAGTCATCCTCTGGTAACGTAACCGTTGTACTTCTCAGTCTCGAGGTCCACTATCTGGACACAGGCCAGGAAGTCCCTGCGGCACCACGGGGAACATTAGCGTCTTTCAGTTTGATAATTGAAGAGCCCCACTTGTCCAAAAGAAAAGGGAGAATATGCACACATTTGTTGTGATGTGTTTGATTCACAGTGAAGGTAGTAATTTAATTCTTTGCCCAAACTAGGGTTCAATGAGGATGTTTTTAAAAATCTAAATTTCTGTTCGTATTTTGTGAAAAGGTGTTCAGTAGGACAACCTTATTTATGATATTATATAAATATAAAATTATGTGTTAAAAACTTACACTATTTTTATCAGCCGAGATACTGATACCATTTTAAGGCAAAATGGAAAAATACCCAGTACAGTGTTTTGCTTTGGATTGCTCCCTGCAAGCGAAAGCAGATTTTGTGTCCCTTTATCTGGCCTTGCTTGTTCTGTTACGTTTCTTCATGTGATTTTCAGACTAATAGACCTCTAGATTCGTTGTCTTGGATTTGCAAGTGTGCTGGCTGAGAACTAAAATGGTCATAGTGTTTATCAGAAAAAGGAAGTGTACTTAAGATTATTTTATTAAGAAAGGCTTCTACATAAATGCACTGAAATAAATGTTGGTAATTTCTTGTATCCTCATTTGTTTCTTTTGCTTCTCATGGAAATGTTTGTACTTTTTTATCATTGTCTTTTATGAAATATAATGTTCTAAAGATTTGGTGTGATGTAATTATTTTCTCTCAGGAACTCTTTTTGTGTCACCTGGGAGTTTCTGTTTGTTGTCAGGTTTCAAATTGAACTGCTGATGATAATCCTGATTGGCCTTAGGGCTGCAGCGTAAGCTCGAGGCAGCCACACCTGAAATACGTTTCGAGATCATCTTGGAGTTTCTACCTCAAAAAAGGTGCAGTCGTATTTAAATATTTTCCATTAGTACAGTTGGTAATTGTTGTGTCAAGATGCATTTCAAGAATTCAGTTTTAGCATAAATTTTGTCCTCCCTGAACAACTTCACAAACCGAAGCTGACATGTTACAGCAAATTCGTTTTTTAGGTGCCAGGTAGTTTTAAAGATATTTAAGCCAAACAGTTAAATCTCTCAAATACCTTGGGACTAGACTGTGAGATGAACTTAGTGTTTGTATAATGAATTCTCAGTGTGATTAATTTTTATGCATACGTATGATCTACAAAGAGATTGTCACTATATATCACAAATAAAGCCAGTCCTTAAATCATAAGCATTTCATCACTTAAATCATTTAAAATCATAAAATTTAATTAGGTTAGTCTCCCCTAGATTCCTACCTGTGATATTAATGTGTCCCTCTGATGAAACAAGTTATCTTAAGAACCCTATACATGTATATTTAGGGTGCTACATTTAAACACATGTATGTGGACATATTCACTGGGGCGGTTTTATTTAGAAAGGGCCTGAGTTTGATTCCTAGTACCAAAAAAAAATTACTTTTGATTTAAATACTTGGGGGCAGGGGGAATGATGTTATCACTTAACTATAGTACAAGAAAAAAAATATAGTGCATGGTTTCAAAACTAAAACTTGGATATTGGATCTCAGCACGTTCCTGTAACGTTTTGAGGTACAGCAATTCAATCGCTAATATAATCTTTCCAGTTTCATCAGTTTAAATTTGTGCTCTGGGGGGCTGGGGATTTAGCCCAGTGGCACAGCGCCTGCCTGGCAAGCACAAGGTCATGAGTTCAATTCCCGGTACCAGAAGAAAACATAAATAAATAAACTTGTGCTCTGAAAGGTCTTGTATCAGACATCCTACATTTACATTTTCATGTCTTCTGTGTGTGTAACACAAAGCAGAAACACCTGCAGAACCTCGTGCCATCCAATGAGTTGCTCCTTTTGATCTCTGTAAACACTGACTTTTTTGTTTTTTCCTAATGCAGTGTTGGCTTACTGTGCATCTTTGTAAGAGCAGCTTTTCTCCATACATACTTCTCAGCTGTAAACACACTCTTCAGAAGGGTAGTTGAAATAATCATTCTGCGAAGAACCTCAGCAATGTGCAGTGAACTTTTAGAGGGGCTCTGTGGACGGTGGAAGTTGAAAGACTTTGGAATCAGACTGACCTGAGGCTGAGTTCACCCACCCTGTCGTTAAGCTTTTAAAGCTGTGTAATGCTCAGGTTCCTGGCTTCCTGAGTTGAGGCTCATAGTAACTACTGGAGGAGCAGGGACATGGTGAAATAAGCCGACTGTAGTAGGATTCTAGTGCTGTGCTTGGCCCACTGAAGTTTCTGCTTTTAGATTAAAAGCCTTTCTCATGCAAGTTGTCCTGAATCTCATTTAAAGGATGATACTGCATTCTTGTTTTCTTTGTGTATGAGGTTTTGTTTTTGTTTTTGTTTTAGTTTTTGAGGCAGAGTCTCTGTGTAGTTCAGAATGACCTTGAACTCACTATGTGGCCCAGTCTGGCCTTGAACTTGGAGCAATCCTCCTACCTCAGTTTCCCAAATGCTGGAATTACAGGTGTGGCCCCTACACCTGGCTGGTACTGCATTCTTCACTTAGGAAAGTCAGTGGTTATATGTGGTTATGTAAACAGTAAAATAGAGATGTGCAGTTGAAATTTCAGTAATAAAGCTGATGAGGCTGTTTCCTCAGAGGCTGAGGACTGGGGGAAGACAACATGGAGGGCATGTTTTGCAGCACTTAGTGCGCAGCAGGTGTCTAGCCCCTCAGAGCTGCTTCCTGGCACAGCTGAAGAATGTCCTTGTGTGCCTGGGCTCCTGCTTACCGTGGCCTTTAGGTTTGGCTTTTTCCCCCCGCCCTCGGTTTCCTTGGAAGTTCTAGCTTCTCCCTCCGCCCTCCCCACCCCACCATGTCCTGTCTTCTGCCCGTCACAGCGTCCAGCAGAGCGTCCTGTGATGATGGACGTGCTCCACATCTCCGCTGTCCAGGGGAGCAGTCACGACCCTTACGTGGCGCTTAGGCACTTGAGATGTGATGGGTACCAAATTCACATAGCCAGTTGAGCAGGTGACCTCCTGTATGTCAGTACCCTGACTGCAGGGGACCTGCCCCCCAGAGGGGACTCCCAAGCTCACATCTCTTCCTAGCTCCTGACCCGTTTTATCCATGTATTGGCCATCCTTCCCTACCTGTTTGTGCACAGAAGCACGAAACTCACTTTGCCCCTAGCTAGATGGGTCGTACTCCCCTTCAGAAACCCAGTCTGCCTCCTTGTTACCCACCCTACTTAGTAACTCAACGGGCAAATCCATGTCAGTCCTCAAAATTCTCCCTCTGTACGATCAACGCTAACTCTACCTCACTGCTCCAGCCCATCTGTCTTTTATTTTTCTCTGAAACTAGCCAGATTGGCCAGATGTTCGCTCTTCTCTCATGCAGGGCTTTTTCTTCAAATCTGTCTTCCAGATTGCGATAGAAATTTGTGTGTGTGTGTGTGTGTGTGTCTCACGCACACACACACGATGTACTCGGGGTTGAACCCAGGGCCTTCACACCCAGCTACTTTCATGCTCACTCCACTCCCCTTTTAAAAGTTTTTGAGACAGATTCTTGCTTATTCCCTAAATTTCCCAGGGTGGGCTTGAACTCACAATCCTCCTGCCTAATCCAGAGTGCTGGGATTACAGGCATGTACCACCATGTCTGGCTAAAAGTTATGTCTTGCAACACACTACCTGCTTAAGATCTTCCAGGGGCTCCCGTTGCCTACAGGTAATGTCTGAGTATTTCTGCTCTGCACATCAGACCTCAGGGATCTGACTTCTGCCTGCCTGTCCTGGACGTCCCTCTTGTTCCCAGTCTGTCCCTTTCGTTCTCTCTCAGCACCTGCCCCACCTCCGGGACCTGTGTCATGCCCCTGCCTTCTCATGCCATCTCTTCTGCTGCTTCCCCAGAGAATCCCCTACACAGCTCTGAAGACCCAGTGAGCCCCTCTGGAAGCCTTTCCTGGCCAACCTAACGAAAACGTACCACTTGCACCTCTGCCGTAGTGTACATGAACCCTATTAAAGCATAGCTTACGCTGTTGAATTTATTTGACTACCGAGTTTTCTTTTCTTCCAGAGACAGCTCTCTAAGAGTAGTGGTCTCTAACTCGCTTTTGTATTTCTAGCATGGCAGGAGCACGCTTTGCAATCCAGTAAATTCGCACGTTCTAAATTACTACTCCATTCACACACGTGCTTCATACCTACGGGGTTTTGTTAGGATCAGTGCCTTAATTACAACTACTAAGGGCCATCATAAAAATCTGTTGACTCATGGACAGATATGCCTGAGTAGAGAGCCAGACTCTTACATTCAACATATTTTTTCAGTTAAAAAATCTTACTAGGCTAAAATGATTAATTTTTAAAAGAAACCCGTAACTT